TTATAGACTACCTTGATTTAGAAGGGCTGAGATCCGTCTGTTTTGATCAAAACTATAGACTACCTTGATTTAGAAGGGCTGAGATCCGTCTGTTTTGATCAAAACTATAGACTACCTTGATTTAGAAGGGCTGAGATCCGTCTGTTTTGATCCAAACTATAGACTACCTTGATTTAGAAGGGCTGAGATCCGTCTGTTTTGATCCAAACTATAGACTACCTTGATTTAGAAGGGCTGAGATCCGTCTGTTTTGATCCAAACTATAGACTACCTTGATTTAGAAGGGCTGAGATCCGTCTGTTTTGATCCAAACTATAGACTACCTTGATTTAGAAGGGCTGAGATCCGTCTGTTTTGATCCAAACTATAGACTACCTTGATTTAGAAGGGCTGAGATCCGTCTGTTTTGATCCAAACTATAGACTACCTTGATTTAGAAGGGCTGAGATCCGTCTGTTTTGATCCAAACTATAGACTACCTTGATTTAGAAGGGCTGAGATCCGTCTGTTTTGATCCAAACTATAGACTACCTTGATTTAGAAGGGCTGAGATCCGTCTGTTTTGATCCAAACTATAGACTACCTTGATTTAGAAGGGCTGAGATCCGTCTGTTTTGATCCAAACTATAGACTACCTTGATTTAGAAGGGCTGAGATCCGTCTGTTTTGATCCAAACTATAGACTACCTTGATTTAGAAGGGCTGAGATCCGTCTGTTTTGATCCAAACTATAGACTACCTTGATTTAGAAGGGCTGAGATCCGTCTGTTTTGATCCAAACTATAGACTACCTTGATTTAGAAGGGCTGAGATCCTTCTGTTTTGATCCAAACTATAGACTACCTTGATTTAGAGGGCTGAGATCCGTCTGTTTTGATCAAAACTATAGACTACCTTGATTTAGAAGGGCTGAGATCCGTCTGTTTTGATCCAAACTATAGACTACCTTGATTTAGAGGGCTGAGATCCGTCTGTTTTGATCCAAACTATAGACTACCTTGATTTAGAAGGGCTGAGATCCGTCTGTTTTGATCCAAACTATAGACTACCTTGATTTAGAAGGGCTGAGATCCGTCTGTTTTGATCCAAACTATAGACTACCTTGATTTAGAGGGCTGAGATCCGTCTGTTTTGATCCAAACTATAGACTACCTTGATATAGAGGCCCCGCAGCCAAACGGACGTGTTAGGCCTTCGCGCAACTCAATCTTAACACTCCGTGAGTCCCAGGTTGCTCGAGACACGCCCCTGCTGTCTACTGTCTGCCTTGCTATCTTTATACAGTGGCGGCTCCCTGTGGCAACTAGTTCCATTTCAACTATCTTCACAATCCATTCATGTCCCATATCAGTAAAGTGTCTTATATGTCAATTTGGCACACATTACACAGCTGTGTTCCTGTACTAAAGGCCCCTTAGCCTTCAAATTTATAGGGTCTCTAGGCTAGTAGCAGTCGTGTAACTTATCTGCTTAACCTTTACAACTGTGTCAAAAGGCGGAGTTGAAAGAAACAGCTGTTAAACAAAGAAAACCATGTCCTCTCCAGGACCAGGAGTCCGCGTATTTGAAAAGAATAAAAATTAATTTCATTTTCTAATTGCACTCACCTGGTATACAAAATACATGATTTAACAGAGAAAAAACGTTAAAAAAACAACAACAAAATGAAAAAAAAAATAATAAATTAATCGCAGTTATCAAAACTGACAAATTTACACCTTGAATACCACTATAACCGATCTCATATGACCTCTGGTTGAACACAGACACACCTTGAATATGACTATAACTGATCTCATATGACCTCTGGTTGAACACAGACACACCTTGAATATGACTATAACTGATCTCATATGACCTCTGGTAACACGCACATACGTTGAATATGATTATAAACTGATCTCATATGACCTCTGGTCGGACACAGACACACATTCCCCACAACTTAATGCGTCAAAAAAAAATTGTTTGTCTCCTCTAAGAGCGATTTTGCTATCCGCGCCGGTACGCCCTCTCCATTTCCCCACCCCACCCACCCCGGACACATCTGGTACCAACGCCCCAGGCTGCTGAGACAAGACCACGAGATTAATTTAATCCCCCGTTGTACTGGTCTCTCCGCTCGGATTTTCCTCTGTTTAGTTTATCATTGAATATTACAATCTCTGTCACACTCAAGTCCCATGAAAGTAAAGTTTCAACGCAAGCAGGATGTGTATTTGCTGAAAGAATGACCCCCCCCCCACACACCCCATTCAACCCCCCAACCCCAAACAAAACACCTGATGGCTACATCATGTAACTGTTGTACCTCGGATTGCTTACAACAAGCCTACTTGGAAACTGAGCCTTGCGGACAAAAGTAGGGCGGCGAAGAGAGCATCCGATCCGGGCGCCATCTTCGAGCGGGCGCCAAAAAAAAAGTCTACTTCCATGCAAAATATGAGTATTTAATATATCATTTTTTTAAAGCCGAGGGCGCCTAAATTCAGGATTTGCCCATGGAGCAGCTTTAGCTTGCCACGTCTCTGATTGGGACCTGGAGTATTTTAAATTTAGCAGCAGCATGGGGGAGTGGAGGAGGGCAGGGCCGGCCCTAAAAATTGCGGGGCCCTGTGCGAAACGGATTGCGCGGGGCCCAGTCTGGGTAGGGATAAGGATAATAAGTGAAAATTAAGACTTTGGAGGAGAGACACAGATAAATAGCAGCAGCAGAGCCGTTCTTAAGCATAAGCAAATTAGGAAACCACCTAGGGCCCCACTGCCAAGGGGGCCCCCGTTGGGCGCTTTGTTTTTTTTTAGGCTACAACTTGCAAGCCCATATATTTCAGAAGTACGCATTTTCTCTGGTGGAGGAATTATCAATATGGTTAGTCTTGTAGTTACACGCGAGAAAAAAGGAAACAGTGACGAAGGCAGAATGGAGGTGCTGCAGTAGTGGGTGGTGTCTTCTCCTCAGAGCTCCGCCCCCCCCCCCCGACCCCAGTTCCGGGACTCCCTTCCTACGCTTCATGCCTAGGGCCCCCAAAATCCTAAGAGCGGCCCTGGCAGCAATATGGGTCAAAATATAAATTTTGTAAAANGAGCAGTACATTGCAGCTAGTTATTGAAAAGTCCTTGGCATTCGGAAACTTATTTTAACATTATTTTTTTTTTTTTATTATTTTTTTGGGGGGGGGGGGGGGTCGCGTAGGAATCTTGCTCCTGATTCTTGGCAAAAAAATTAATGCTTAAAAAAATAATTATAGTAAGATGATAACTCACAAAAACATCTGATATCTAATAACTCGTTAATAATACAGATAGTGAGCGTTAGTTTATGGAGAATTTTTTAAATTTTATTTCACACTGTGATTATTAATTTCTAAAGGCTTTTACAGATTATCCATCACAATGTGTTCATTTAGCGAACAAAATTAATCCAGTTTCCGGGAAGATCTTGATCTCCTGATTAAACGCTTCAGTAGGCCAAATGTGGCCCGCAGCCACCTCTATTCTTTATTTTCCTTTAAATCTAATTCTCCTTTTAAAGTTTAATAAGTTTAGAAAAACGTAAACTATGAAGATTTTAATTTTGGGTGAAAAACAATGGGACCACGCTATCGGGGCCATGTGAAATGTGGGGGGTGGGTGTGAACGGGGGCCATGTGAAAGGTGGGGGTGGATGTGAACGGACGCCCTAACGTAAATTATATGTCTCTCTCTCTATATATATACATATTTTTTTATCATGCACAATGCATTTACCATATATAATTTATTAATGAAACAGAGGTGGGTCCCAACATTTGCAGGCTTCGCCCCTGGCGCAGCTTTTCCTCTGTAAAGTCCTGAGACCGGTAAACAGTGAAGTCTAAAAAGAAAACAATAACACGGGTACAATCATAAAATATACTTAAATTCAACCACGCCGATTTTCACCCTTCAAACATCAATAAAGAATATTGACAGGGTGCTCCGTGCTCGAGGAAATTCTACTATAAATATTGTTAGGTTTTAAAAGTATTAATAAACATTTATTGATTTTTACAAATCAAAACTTAATAGAAAATAGTCCATCTCGGTCCAGCCCCCATCCCTTCAAACCAGACATGCCTTTCTACGGCCCTGATTGCCCCTGAGCTGTACAGCAAAGAGAAGACTAAGAGATTGCTGATAGTCCACGGGTCTATGATTCAGTGAGGGATCCTAAAACATGTCAATTTAACCAAAAAGTTACATATATTATCCATACCGGCTTACAGAGTTCAAACAGCAATGTGTGCGTTTAAACACAGGACTTGTTTGGGGTCGTTCGTAAATTTCAAAAAAGTTAAAGAATAAAATAAAATCTTAGTTTAGTTGTGAAAATTGTATGTATGTTTTGATTTTTTTTAGGTGTGACGTGACACTAAAGTGGGGGGGGGGGGGGGGGGAATTGGTGACACTTTGACACCGGGGGGGGGGGGGTCTGAAAATGTCATTTTTGGGGTGACGTAATTTGCAAACGACCCCATCAAGGTTAATAAATATTTCAGCTACTTGATAGAAAAGCATCTGAAAGCAAGTGCAAGCCGACTAAAAGACAATCTCCTGTTAGTTTAGGTTTTATTTATGCTGGAGATGACGCCCCCTTCCATAATGTATAAAATGAACACAGTCAATATGAATTAATCCCCTACGTTGTTAGACACCACTCGCTGTATTCTCGTATCAATTGATTCTTGTGCAAACATATGTGTGTTATGATGCTAATAAATCGATGATTGACACCCAACCTGTCAAATCCAAAACACGATGTTGTTGTTTTATTTATATCCAGCATTTAAACATAACTTTAAGGTAACTTTTGTTTTAGCATATTCAATATAAATAATTTTAAAATACATTTAATCCGTATCAACCACAGCATTCGGCATCTCTAAACTTGTTTTCCCCATTTCGTTTCGTATAACGCTTGAACAAGTTCTATTTTTATCGACGCGAAGGCCTTTCGTCTCGTGACGTGAACGAACTACGGCATTCCAGCTTCAACTACCAGCCAGTGAGGATGTGCCCGAGACGAAGCTTTTGCAAAAGATGAGCCATTAAGCCTGTCTGCTGGTTATATTGGAAGGATTGTGCTTTAAAATAGCTTAAATATCTCATACACGATTGTGTAAGTTAATCAAACGTTTAAGCACAAGTATTTGCATAGCAGCTTTGTTAAAACGGAACTGGCCTTACCATTACAGCGTGCAACGCATTGATAGGAAGTGGCGGTAAAAAGAAGTAGGTCACATGATTGTCAGTAGGCTAGGTCGCCATCAGGCTTGTGTGACCTTACAGACCAGCACATAACAAAGGTTAGGCTTGATGCTGTTATAAAAGTAATACAGATACCACGTGCTTAGCTTTGTTCGTTTGTAAACAGTGAACGTGTTGTTTAAATGTGACTTTATTTCGTCATAAACCTTTCAAGTGGACTTTTGTATCTTAAAAAAGGATTTTATTATTTTTAATGTACTATTTACATTAGGCTTAGGCTATTATATCCTAATATAATAATAAAGTTACACTAAAATAATACTGCTCTATATAGTACTAATAGTAAAGTAAAGTAGATAAGACTAATAAGAGTATTTAGGCCTAATAAGTTAGCATTAAAAGCAAAGGTGAGGACTGGTAAGCTAAGTAAGAATAAAGATTAATTAATAATAATAGTATTAATAATTTTTAGATTATTAATAAATAAATAAGCTGTCTTTTTATTTTTAGCAGGTTAAGCATGACTGTTACTGTACTAATAACTTTAAAAGAAAAGGCTTTACTATTCCTAACCAAGCTATTTAAGGCCTAAGAGTCTAGGTTGGTCTGTTTCAGTGGTTGACTAAATATTAAATATGCTTAATTGAATGTGTCTGCCTTACTCTTATTAACTTTTTATGATTTTATGATTTAAATGAAACAGAGCACAATAATTAAAAAGGTCCTAACGTCTTGAAAAAAAGAGTTGAATTATGTGGGATGAGATTGAGATGATTTAATTTTTAAATTAATAGTAATTAAAAATTAAATGTAAGCTGCACTACAGCTACACAGTTCAAGAATACTAATACACTATCAAAACTACAAATTACTCAAAATTCATTGATTCAAATCATTTAACTTTTTATTAAAATTACAGGAGTTTTATAAATTAAATGTAAATAGGTCCCATTTTGCTAATTTTTTTGAGGAAATTAAAAAGAAGTAGAGATTGGAATATAGACTCATAAGTCATAAGAGTGAAGACCTATGACTTTGTTATTGTTGCCATTTCATAGTCAATAGATTATTTTGCAGCTCATTTATTAGATAAATTTATTTCAAGTGGATAGGCCTACAATTTTTCTTCTTTATCTTTATATAGGCATGGGCTTACAATCTACGAATCTTAATACTGAGTGTTAATGATAGTTGTAACATGTTCAATTATTTTTTTAATTAAATATAGTCAGCATATGTTGATTTTTTTGGGATATTGCAATAAAAATTATTAAAGAAGTCTTAGACCAGTTAGGCTACATATTCATATATACTGCTGGCCTGGTTGCTTAATGCCTCACTGGTAAATGTATTTTCAATGAAATCTATTATTTTGACTAAATAATAGATACATTTGATTTATTTTTATGTCCATATTCATCGTGGGGCTCAAGAAGCTTAGGTTTTTGTACATTTCTTAAATAAATTATTGTCAAAATGCTAGTATTCTGATACACATATGAAGTACCCTTTTGTGCCCTCCTGATAATCTTTTTTAGTTTCCGTGTGTACCTTGTATTTAAGTCACACCTTGCTTTACCTCAACATAGAACATACAATATGGCCCATGAGAAATGAAGATACGTTTCTATTTGCAAAAAATTTCTAATAACCCATTTTAATATAATTTGTATTTAGGATTTCTCAAACCAATATTTTAACAACTTTCCGTTAAATTCATAAGCATATTTTGTTATGGTCGACAGCCATTTTAAATGCTAATATTAAATATAGTTTAGTACAAAACCAAAGCATGCATTTATTCTATCAAATTGATGTGATTCATTATTTACCAACAGTGTAAATATTATGTGAAATTTTGAATCTGGAACAAAAAAATATTAAGTAAATAAGCTTCAGTTTTAAGGGCTTAAAAAATAATTTCCCACTCTTCCTCTTTATACACCAAAAGTCTGTGGACTACATATTTCTATTTAAAATTATCATAAAACACATCTAAATTACTGATTGAAATTAATTGTTCCTTTTTAAGGAATCTCTTTTGGAAAGGGGTGCTTCCTGAGAAGTAATAAATGCTTTTTAACCATTAAATTTTAAATTCAAGAACTATCTTATGTTTTTTGTATTGCTATTTAGAGTGTAGGCTACTTACACTTAACACGTCACATATGTTTCTGTTACTTTTAATTGTGGCATTATTAAGAACTATTATAACATTCAGTTCATAGTTTTTCATAGGCAGTGAAGTCAGTTTTTGTCTTTGTGTATATGCTTAATATTTAGAGGATATAGTTTGAATTTAGAACTTAGAGAAAAAAAAAAAGAACAGCAAATAAACATTGCTTATCCTATTTCTCAAATATATATACAAATATATTTTTTTTAAATTGGTGGAACTTATATATGTTAATTGTTTTGGTTTTGTTTAAGAAATTCACATATTTTTCATGTGTGTTGCTTTTCAGATTGAGTAAGGCAAGATCATTAAGATAACACTGATGAGTCGCCTAATTTATGTCCCACAAACATATGGATTTCAATCCCCTGGACATCTTAGCTGCAGCTGCGCTTGGAGAGAAGGATGCCCCACCTGAACTGAAAAGCACTAAGTCTGAAAAGTTATCGGGAGGCGATCTTAATGACCACACAACTTCTGTAGTCAGTAAAGATGATAAGCCTGATTCAAACCAAGAAATGGGCAAAACAACAAGTAATGGTTTAAAAGAAGTCAGTATTTGCATACACACATCTAAGGGCATGGCTCCCCAAAAAATTGACTGGAGTCCAGGGACATTCTTGGATAGTATGTCAGCAAAGTCAGAGAAATTTACCCTAGATCAGCTTGTGAATGATATCAAGAAACAGCATTTGGATTTAGAAATTCACAAGCTTGCTCAACAGACCGTTGAGAAAGAAGATTGCTCTAAAGAGCTATCTAAAGGTGATATTGGTGATGCTAGTCATGATGACAAACAGAATGATACGTTTGTATCAGAAAGAAATGTTATCAATAAAGAGACTGATCAGATAATATTGGATACAAATATTATGGCACAAATATTTACTAAGCAAGAGAATGATCAGAAGGATTTTGCTCCGGAAGATTCCACGAATAGCCCGAGTGACCTTGATACCATGGACTCAAACTACAGCAAGTCTCCTGATCTTGCAGATAGTGCATCAGAAATATCTCTGTCAGAAATAATTGCACTTGATCACCCTTATGCCCTTGCACCGGGATCAACACAACTTCCAGCATTAATGGATGATGATGATATCGATGTTGGTTCAGATCATAGTCCGCTGACAGAAGAAACAGATCAACGTTCACGAAATTTGTCTTTGGATTTTAATTATCTAAAATCTGGCATTCTTGAAGGTGTCTCAGCAAGCACCCTGGACTTGTACAAAATGTCAAATACTGGCTTGGGTAGGTCCAAACTACCCTCATCATCATCCTCGACATCTTCACCAACAGCTGACATTATTTCTAAATCTACAAATCACATATTTAGCAACGACAAGTTGTTTAAGGGCATTAATTCAGGTCATGGTGTGTCGAATAATAACTCTCCAGTACGACCTGCTCCAAAATATGGGAAGTTCAGAATAGGGACCTATGGTTCTTTTAGTAACTTGGAACTTGAAAAATACTTAAGAGACAAAGATCTCCTGAATAACAGAAAACTTAAAATAGGTATTCCACCAGAGTCTAGTTCCAACAACTCCTCTTTTAATTCTCCATCTGCATCTCCTAGTGCTCACAGATTTCTTCAGTCACCAAGTTTGGATTGGGACAGATCTGAAGCTAGTTCTGAAACTCAAGATGATAGTTCAGATGCCAGAACACCTCTCAGAATGTCACCAGACTTTACAGAAAAGGTGACTGAATGGTCACACCCTATGTATCATGACCATGATTACTGTGTAAAAAATGATACCAGCAGCCCTGATGATTTTAGCAAATTTATACCAATTAAGAGGAAATATACAAAAAGAAAGAATAAAGGGGATGGAATGAATCATGAAAAATTTATGAAAGCTAAATATTTGAAAAAAGAGCTTCTCAAACAAGACAGTTTTATAAAAACACCCCCAGAACTTGAATTAATGGCTACTGATCCTTCTGTGATAAGAACAAACCCTGTTGGTAGGCCAAAAAAGAGACCCTTAGAAAAAGTAATTGATGAGGAAATAGACCCAGAGACTGGAACAAAGTTAAAAATTACTGGTCGATACCAAGACCAGTATGTTTATTACTTGTCAAAGTCTTCCAGAACTACAACAAGAAGAAGACAAACTCCATTATTTCCTCACACAGCTGATAAAATTATTGTTCCTGCACCAAAGCCTGGGGATATTGTCGTTCCTCACTTGACTGATGCAGACATTGAGACCGTACGATTAAAAGGACGGGGTGCTCTTAACCTTCCAGCCCGACCACACATGACAAATAACTCTCCCCTATCAACTGCTATTTCACCCATTCAGTCATCAATTCCATCATCAAGTCATTCGTCAGAATTTATTTCTGATGTTGATAGTCATATTGTTAGCACTATTCTAAGCATGGAAAATGACAACTTGGCTTCGCCCACCACTTCCCATGCACCTGACATCGGCAATACATCAGGCCTGAACCCTAATCAGCCTGCACTGACTGAAAGCTTAAGACTTATGAGTGGAGACTCTAGCATAACTTCGGAGCATGTCTTAAACTACCTTCTCAGTGTGGTTAAAGATGATGGTTTGCTGAATGCTGCATCTGGATTTGATGGAAGCAGTTTATCATTTTTCCCTTCACTTCACTCTGATTCCATCTACTCTAAATCAGACCACACTGATTGCTCAACTTCAAGTGTAGGCCATGAAATTATGGACATTGGAAAGTCTATGCAACAAGGCATAGGCTCTCCACATGACCATGAGAGTTATGACAATTCAGGTGTCTGTAAAGACCACATAGATGAGAATGGTGGATTACCAGATGACCTTTCTTCTTTCATATCGAATTCTCAAGGAACATCCTCTTCCAACACAACTCAAGATGGTGACTCCCATGGTTCATTAAAGAGTATGTTTGGATCGGATCTTAGCTCTTTGGGTACACCACATCTGTCATCATCAGTTCAACACCTTACATCTATTGAGAAGACTTTGGATTACCTTGTTGGAGTAAGAGATGAGGATATTAAATTACATTGTGGTGTTTATAATACTAAATTGGAAGATGATGCAGAGTCTGACACAACACAGCCTCTCACACCACTGTCCAGTGCTTCATCTGATGACACACCTTGGATAGTTACAGTAACGTTGTATTTTAATGATGTGCCAGCTATTATGATCAACAATCAACCATACATTCGTCTTGTGGATATTCACAAGCAAATACTGCCAGCAAAAGACACTGGTATTCTAAAAAAACGCTGTCAATTGTTAAAAATTCCAGTGTTAAACTGTACAGAAATGCAGCGCTACTTCCTTGTGCAGTATGGCAGGGCGTATAACTCAAAGAGCACATTGGTTGTTTCTAAAGAGCAGGCAAATAACTTGGTGACTTACTATGCCACTCCACAGCCTAGGATTGGGAGAACAGAGGAATCTCACCAGCGCCGTGCCAGTAGTGGTGGTTCTGAAGGGGGTGCAAGATCACCTGTGACACATTTATCCACTGGAATCTTTCGCAAAAGAGGAGCAATTAAAAATTCTAAAAAAGCAGCATTGCCTTCTGGGTACGTTACATTTTGTCTAAAATATAATGAATCATTTTGGTTGTACTATAATTATTGAAATTTGTGTAAAAAAAAAAAGGCATCATGTAACTTAAAATGCTGCAGCAGAATAAACAAAGTTTTTGAAATATTTTTAATTAATCACACAACTATGTTCCTTAATTTAAGAACTTTTAAGTCAGATTCTTGGAAGTGCATAATTTTAATTATTTGGGATATTTAAAAAGACAAAGGTGGATTTAAGAAAAATTGAATTATTTTGAGATTACATGTAATGAAAGTGTGGTATTCTTAAAATACATTTCATTTATTTGATATTTTGGGGAATATTATTAAAAAAATTGACTGATTTGAAATCATCAGTTTTGAAAAGAATTATCAGTTGTTGGTTTTTACGAAACTATAAAGTTGAACTATTTTTGTTCTTACTAAAGGCATAAAACATTTTTTTTAATTAATAGCAGCACAAAAAGAATTATGTAATTTAAAAGAAAAGAAGATGCATATTAAAATGGAAAATATGGAGTTGCCCATGATTTTGGTAGACGAAAATCTGTAGCAAACGCACAGTAACAAATATTCTTGTAAGCAGTATCTATCAGAGAATAGAGTTAAAAGTTTTAATTTTGTTAACTATTAGAAATGACCTAAAACAACAGATTTCACCTTCTGTTTGTCATAGAGATTCTCCCACACATTATGCTGTTTTATATGGTCTGGTGGCGTAACTGCATGATAGCGATGAAACCAGACAAATGGCTTAAAATTCTATTTCTAAAACCGATGATCACTTTGCCAAAAAAACCAATGTTAATGTCCTTAGATTTAAGTGTAAGAAAAGTCTTTATAATTCTGTAAAACCATGTTTTGCAGGTTGTTGGGTGTCTCAGCAAGTGTGCCATCTAAAAGTCTAACAAAGAATTCAGAGGATGTTCCTTCCAGCTCCAATCACAATAAAAGAACCCGGCATAAGAAAGTTAATTATCTGGAAATGTTGAAAGGGGAAGAGAAAGAAAAGTCATCAACTGCTTCTATATTAGAAACCATCGAGTCTGTTGTTAAATCTGGGTCTAATTGTGCACATGATGGAAAACTAAATAAAATGGCTCAGAAAAGAGGCAAAGATGATTCCAATTGTGATAAGAAAAGTGGAATTAAAAAGAAGTTTGGCCTACAAAAAGGGACAAAAGTGGGAACAAAGTCAAAAAAAGACCAAGACATTCAGAAAATAAAAAATGGCAAAGGTAAAAAAGGTAGTGATAAACAGTCTGCAGATAAAGATATTGAATTCAGCTCAGAGGGAGATTCTGATGATTCTCTGGATTTAACACAAAACAAAAAGTTTAAACCTCTAAAACTCAAAGTTAATAGTTTATTAAATTTTGCAGGGCAGCGCAAAGGTTCATCTCCAAGCAAAAAAGGCTTGTTTTCTCGCAGCAATTCAACAACATCCCCAACATTAGATCGACCTCTCAGGATTCTAGCTGTGGCTCACCAGGCAGCTTTGTCTGGAGATAATGCTGTATCGCATTTGCCCTCACAGCCAGCGGATATTCACTTAGACTTGTTTAAAAAATCTAACTCAGCTTGTGTTCGATGCGAGACCTGTAGTCAGTTTTTGTCAGTTCCGCATTTCATGCGCCATCACCATGTCCCCATGGACAATGAATGGCTGGCCACTGAAGCAGCACATCGTATTTTAGTGCCCAGGAATAAAGAGACTATTTCTGATTCTGAGAAATTACTGTGGGAAGAATTTCACAAGCTTCAGGAAGCTATTGGTGGCTTTGGTGAAGCTGATGATGAAACAGACACAGATGAGGGAGAGTATGAGGAAGATCAAGGCTCATTTGAGCTTTCTGGCGCTTCAACTTCTCTCTCAAGTATGGACAGATCATTGCGGGGAGGATTGTCCCCTGAGGAAGGGGTGGGTACCGCTAGGCTGTCTCCTTCACAAGATGATGATGAGCTGTTGACCTCAGATGAAGATGAGCCAACTGTGTCAGATTTACCAGGTTCTTCTGTTGAAAAAACACAACAAAAAGATAGTAATCAAACTCTTTGTAAACTAGGTTTATTGAGAAGGGAAAGTTCAGTTTCTAGTTCTTTATCGAATGAAGGGCATGATGGTAATCATTCAAATTTAAGGACCAGTTCACGGAAGAGAAAATCTAAGAAATTATTTTCCATAGAGAACTATTACACCCCCAAGAGGTCACAATATGATGATGAATCTCTCACTCAGCCTGAGGGCTCAGTAACTATTAACGGAAATGGAACACCTAATGTTGTTTCATCACCATCTAGATCTCGAAATTTATTGTAGCACTTTTTTTTTATATAGATGATTCTCATCTGTATTTTCAGTCAGGGACCAATGGTCAGTTTTAAAAATCATTTCAGTATGATTGCAACAAAACTAGGTGGGGTTTTTTGGTGGAAATTAAATATGATTTATGTAACAGGTGATTAAGAATGTAAAAATTTGATAGCTGCATGCTTGTTTTGTTTAGTGTAACTTGTCATTGTTTTATTAAAGATTTCCCTATATCTTAAATGAAAACATTTTTATGAATGACTCCCAGAAGTAAAGGCAGATTTTAAATTTTATTTTGCCATACAATATATTTATTTATAACACAATTTTTTGTTTTGACTGTTTTTAATTGATGATGGGCTTTTCGCAAATGTTTTTAAGTATTAAATCATGGAATAAGAAAATTTTCCATAACTGACTGCACAGTACTTTAGTCAAATCCATATTTTTAGTAGCGGCTTTCCATCACTACAAGACAACCATGTTTTGCAAACCAATGTTGGTCTTAAATTATTTTAAATCTTCATCTGAACTTCAATTGTAAGGATTCAATTTATTGAGAGATTGTTTGGAGATGCTAAATTACTAAATATTACTTTACATTGGTTTCACAGTAATTGTAATTTTGTATCCTTGAGCTTTTAATTAATCATCCAGAGATTGTTGGGGTGTCACCTGTTAATACATGCTTTCATGCTGCTTTGGTCTTTTCCTTTTTGTCTAAGCTAGAATTGGTGACCAGTCATTTGATTAATTAAGGCATGTAAAAATCTCTTTGCACATTGATGATGATGGCATTATGTATCAATATTGGTTTTGTATAAATTCTTGTAAACTGTGTTAATTCGACCTAGAGCAACCTCCTTGAGATCAATACATTATTAACAGATCAAAGTTCTTTTGGACAAATAGCCTGACTTCCTTTTATAAAAATCTTGTTATAAAAATCTTGACACAGTTGTCAGGGCGGGTGAGATCTTGTCAGAGAGACTGTCCATTTTAAAACAATTAAATGCAACTGTTAATCCAATCCTCATGCATACCTCTAATGAAGCAGAACCTTCCTTATTTATGGAAATTGTTGTAGTTTGGCCATATCATCTTTCTTATTGCAAATACAATATCGGTATATAATATGAAATAGTTTGTAAGTTCACTTGAATAAGGTAGTTGATGTAATAATAATTATACACCAGTGTTTCAGTTGAATCCTTTTAGCTCCATTGATGTCTTTACCTAGAATTGGTGGTTAGTGAAAAAAAAAAAAAATGTTTTCATTTACCTGTATGGTGAAATGTTGTTTTTCCCCCATGTAAATTTTATTCTTTTTTTGTACATGCAGCCCATTTTCATGGTAAGTAAAGATTTGTTACAAGATGGTTTTAAAACTTTTGGGGGTGTGAGGTCATGCTTTGACATTATTTTTAATATCTGTGATATTGAAATTTGTTTTGTACTTTTTTGCAATTGAACTACTTGTATTTGATTTGGTACATTGCGTTTTGTGTTTCGTTAATACCTTACCCATTTAAGAGTCTTGTTCACATTATTGGCAAACTAACACCTTACAAGTAAAGAACAAAAAGACATTTTATTTTTACTATCCTCAGGCTGGTGGCCAGTGTTACACTTACACTGCTGTTCGTCATAACAACTCTTGGTCACCATATGTTTGAAAAGAAATCTGTTGTCTCCATTGTAATGTTTACAATCATTGAATACATATACTGTAAAAATAGTGATTAGAAAAATCTTTAAATATGAAAATTTTATCATATTATCTTTACCAAGAAAATTTAAAAATTTATAATTTAAGTTTGTTACACTAAATTAACATAATTTAATATTTAAGTAGAACAGAAACTATATGAAATACTATTAACCTGGTATAGAACAATACAGATTTCATGCATACACTCTGGTACATTCTTCAGCAGCATGTACCAAACCAGGGGTTCTTAACCTTTTTTATACGATGGATCCCATTGATAGAATTTCTTAAAGCCTAAGAACAAACATAAATTATAAATACTGATTGATGAATTAGGCTTTACCCAATTTTTTTTCTCTTTCAAAAACCCTGATACCAATTTTAAATAACTCCCTCCCTCCTTGTTGGGTTACTGGCAGTGTCATCTAAAGCCCTAGGCACACTACTAGAATATTTCTTATTTTGTGAGCCTCATCCCACTCAAAATGAAGGCTTCATAATGCCATAGCGTTTGAGCTACCCCGCTCCCCTAATGTTAAAAAGCTCTTGCACATTGTTGTTCTACCCTCGACCTGATTAAAACGCTGTTAAAAATGTCCTCGTGTTTAGTGGATTTTCATTTAAGAATCCCTGCACTAAATTATAACAATATTTAGAATGTAAAACAAAAAATGATGTATTCATTATCAATGGAAACGTTTCATATATTTTTTAAAAGACCTGGCACTCCAAATTTTTAAGAGGCTGTGGTCCGTGGTCAGAGGTGACAACACACTCTAGTTTACACCATTCACCCTATAGGTAAAATTATAATGTAAGACACAGCTCCATCTTTAATAGGACATTTCACAAAAGCCTGAAAGGTACCATACACTTTAACAATTGCCTGATATAAATAGTATAATATTCATATAATATTCTCAAGTTGAGTTAAAATGTTGATCAGTTGTAAGTCTTTGGTGTTTGCGTGTACAGTTACTGTGGTACTTTTATTTAATTCTCTATCTTTGAGACAGTAATGGAATATATTATAAACACTCGCAGCAGTTAACAGAAATACATTTAAAATTAATAAAGCATTTTTTTTTAAAAGTGGGAATATTTTTCATTTCAATGAAAACCACCTGCATTTTTAATCCACCTTAAAAAAATAATAAAATCATTGAAATTCTATGCTGGTATATTTAAATCTATGCATAAGACCAGGCCTGCACAACTCAGAATGTAAGGTGGGATGTAATACTTTATGAAAATCTTATGCGGGCCTTAATACATCATGAAAAACATGTGTGGGCCGAAAGATAATAGGACAGAGGGAAAGCTATTAAGCAAATAATAATAGAATAAAATAATAGTTTGTCACTTCGGGGACCGCCAAGTGGGGGCTGGCCGGCCGCATGCAGCCCGTATGTTGTGCAGGCCTGCATTAGACTAGGCTATGAATATTCTTTTAGTGAGAACAGATGGAATAGGTTGAATAGCATTTTATTTTCAGAAAAAAATTACTGTTACTAATTAAATTGAATACCCCTACCCAAAATTGTGAAAGGAGCTCAACAAAGTATCTATACATAGTGCTTGAATATTTCTATTGACTTTAAATTGTAAAAACTCCATGCAATGTAAGTAACAAATGTAAATTTTACACAAAATTTCTCATTACATTGTAGCTGGGTATCTTGTAATGGTAACCGAATTAGTTATGTTACAAGTTTAGATGATACTATACCCTGTACGTTTTTAATTTTAAGCGTATAGATGTACCATTTTATACATATTCAATATATGTATATATATATATATGGAGACATTTTACCCAGATGTGGTATGACAAAGGGCTACAATGGGTACAGAAGAGCTCTGTATCACTGTATCCAAAGCTTGTTTGGCAATTGCCATATTTTAATAGGTTAATTCCTCCATGTAATAATTATCATTTTTTTTTCTTTCTTTTTCAAAGTTAAGTCTTAGTATTGATGCTACTGAAATCAAAGCACAGGCAATATTGAAATCAAAGTTGAAATTTTTCGCTATACCCACAAGTTTGATCTACTTGGTGGGCCATCATAAATCAGAGCCAAAAATCAGCCAGTTCGCATCTGTTGTCAGTTCACATTTATTGATTTAATGTGTCATCAACCCTTGTGGACTATGTGATCCATGTTCCTTCACTGAACACGTTACAAAAAGAAGTTATTATGAAATCTCCACATTGTTGGGAATACTAAACCCTGAGCAGGAGCTTTCCCCCATATTTAGTACATTGTCCTTGTACATGTATGTTAGAATACCGTACTATGTAGAATGGACTGCACTCTTAATAAATGAAATTGAAAATGACAAAATAAATTTTTTGTTGGCTTGCCTTGATTGGTCTTTTCTGACATGCTTTTGTTGGGCGTGAATGAACAGAAGATCCAACTCACAAGCCTGTATTTTGTTACTTGTCTTTGTATGGGTACTTTGACTTTAGTACTTATGATAATCATGGGTTTGAGAAAAAAAAATTGGCATAGCCACAGATTAAACATGATCAACTGACACTCCCTGCCCGAAACAAACTCTTTTTAATGATGAAGTATCAGGACGTAGTACAAGTATATCCCATGCCCATACAGTGGAATTTCCAGCTTTTATTTTTTAATTCTAAATGAAGGTTCCTTTATTTGCATCCATTTTATAAGTGGAATGAGAAGCTTATTATTTATATATACTTTTTTTTAGCCTTAAACCTCAAGTGTGATAGGGGTTGAAAGTTTGAGATTCACTGTTATATAGCTAGACACTGTTGACAGATCACGTTCGCCATCATGCTAATTAGATAATACTATTTATACTATTTGCTAGCACATTCAGTTAGTTGTCGATAGATGGAACGGCGGCGGGGTGGTACATGGCCATGGGCGTCACCATCTTTTTAGAAGGCAGGAAGCAATGTGGCAATAATTGTTATGATCATCCATGAAAATTGTATAACAAAAAGATGCAGGTGGCATCACTATGTAATATTAATATCCCTTCCAGAAAGGGAGCCCGTACAACGCCTTTCCCACTCCCCTTTATTTTATGGATGCCCGGGAACACTTTAAGTTTTGTTCCATATACGCTTAATATAAAGTATGTTATCTAATTTGATACACTGTTACACACGGAGTCCCATTTCCAGGTCTAAGCACAAGGTATAAAGAGCATCCGCCTCATTTCTTTATCTGACTCAGACTGACAGGTTCTCCACGGTATTTCCACCACAGTGCGCAACAGCACAATGCACGCAACAGCACACTGCACGCTTACACATTAAACACAGAACATTAACAAGAGGAGATAATAAGTGGAATAAGTGAAATTCTTTGTTTTTAATGGGGATGGGGCACATGTATAGTACCCCGTTAGTAGTAGACTTAGATAGTATACCTTAGTACATGTATTTACAACAGGACTGCAAGTTAAGAGACCGCCCCCCCCCTTAAGCACACACCCGGGGAATCACCGCTGACAAGACATGACACGCCTCCCTCCCTCCCTTTTTATTGAGACACTACACACAAGGAGTGACAGGGCGGAAGTAGGAACTAGTTTACAGTAAAAGTTAGTTTGTAATAAAATGGTGACACTTGAATTAATGTTGCCAGGAAAGGCAACACATACTTGATATACCGGTACTCGATCTGATGATACTGACTATGTAGTCTAGTGACTCTACACTACCACAAGTCTAAAATGCGCTGACCTTGGCCTTGTCAACCGGCTGGAAGGGTGAGGGACGGGGCGTGGGGAGGAAGTAGTAAATTGATCCATTAGTTTTCTCTTGCCAGACGATTTGATGGCGGTTGGTGTAAATTTGAAACACGCCGACACTGGTGTATCTACACACATCAGTCAGTAAACCATACTTTTTAAAATTAATATAAATTAAGATGCCCACTCATAATGCAAACTGACAATAACTGATACACACGGCCTTGGACAGAAAAAGGGGGGGGGGGTGTCAGTGGAGTACCTAGTGTTAGTGCCACCCGGGGAGGGCCAATATTTTGCTCCCCCCCCCCCCCCTTTTTTTTTTTTAGGGGGGGGGTGTCAGGGGAAGACCTAGTGTTAGTGCCACCCGGGGAGGGCCAATATTTTGCTCCCCCCCCCCCTCCTTTTTTTTTTTTTACAACCAAAAAAATGATAATGCAGTTGGCTGAAAATGTTGCCCCTCCATGTAAATAAGAAAAGTCCCAACCAGGTCGGAACGCACCCTCCTTCCCACGCTATTGGGGAGGGGCGCTCGACTTTACCAATAAGGGGCGCATTATTCTACGAAAAGTGATGATGCAGTTGGCTTCAAATATCGCCCCTCCACATAAATAAAAATAAAAAAATTCCACCCAGGGCGGAACGCACCCTGCTTTCTGCGCTATTGTAAGAAAAATTATAATGTTAAATTAAACGAAATGTATACCGTAGCTACTTTGTATTTGAAAAGCAGACACGGAAGCCTTAAGCCCTAGGTTCCGTGATCATTGGAACTCTGTGCACGATGCCCTAAGCCTAAGGATCATCGACCCCAGGCACACACTCTCCATAAATACCGGTAGTGTAACAGAAAACTCCCCAAAAGACACACGCCCATTGCAGAAGCAATTCAAGTCCGACCATTAACATGAATGAATAATGAAGGTGCAGTTAGGCAGCATGCATGG